AGTTTCAGGTTAGCCTAGCAAACCTAAACGTTTAGAAAGTAGGGGGTGTCCCATGCGGTGGTCCTTGGGTTAAGAAACCTATTTCCAAATCTAGCCTAGACTGCGCCAAACGCCTTGATCTGAGTGCTTGTCGCGTGACAGCGCTGCGGCTCTCTTCCCTCCCCGTCAGGTGTTTCTTCATTGCACAGTCCTACGTGCTGGTGAAGAAGTGGAGCGAAGCCCTTGTGCTGTACGACAGAGTCCTGAAGTACGCAGACGAAGTCAACTCTGACGACAACCATGAGGCCTTCGAGAACAGCCTGAAGGTGAGACGTTGTCCTCTCCGTGTTTCCAAAGTCCTGGGAAGCTGTGCAGGGAGGCTCTGTCGGGGCTGGGAGGGTAGAACCACTGATGAAGCCTTCCTACGCAAGGTGTGTCCAGCTTCACCGGGAGCTAGCCAGAAATGCAGGCTCTCAGGCCGCACCCCAGACCTCCTGAGTCAGAATCTTCATTTTAACAAGATCCCTAGGGGATTCGGGTGCACACTAAAGCTTAAGAAGCATTGCTCTAAAGGACAGCCATGAGAAGGACTCCGTGGTTTGGTTTATTGTACTGACTGTCAGACGACAGCTAGCTTTCTAAGCTTGTGGACTGTTGCAATGACCTTGAGATTATTAAAAAATATATGTATCTGGTCCAAGGAATCCATGTATGTTTTACCAGTAGAGACTGTTTAGAAAAATGAACTAGTTACTATTAGTAATTTAGTCACAAACCAGAGGGAACAGCTGCTGGTTGCAGAGCACTTGCTGTTCTCTGAACAGCACTAGGCCCCCTGGGGAATAAAGCAGAAACCTGGCTCTGCCTTCAGAGAGCTGGTGGTTTTATTGCAGTGGGGAGACCTCTACATAGGAACTCATCTCTGAATACAAAGGAAGTACCAGAGGCCGTGAGCAAAGGCAGAAAGATAGGAATAGATGGGTGGGGGCAGGAGGGAGACCCGAGTGTCGGCATCATCACAACCCAACCCCATTGCTGTGAAGTCAGTTCCAACTTGTAGCAACCCTATAGGACAGTGTAGAACTGCCCCACAGGGTTTCCAAGGCTGAAATATTTGCGGAAGCGGGCTGCCACATCTTTCTCCCACAGAGCGGTTGGTGGGTTTGATCTGCCGACCTGTCGGTTAGCAGCCGAGTGCTTAACCACTGTGCCATCAAGACTTCTTAGCATCTGCACAGTGGGGTGTAATTTCAGGATGCGGTGCCAACCAAACCATCTTAGGAGAGAATAAAGAAGTGTTTTACAAATACCGCTTTGACCTGATGTGTCCCAGAATGGAAGCACGGAATTTTGTAGCGTGCAGACCTTGTCAGGTCATTCCTTTTGTTGCCGAGTGAGAGGCTGAGGCCAGAGAACGAATGGCTCTGCCCTGGTAGCAGCAGCAGTGGAGTGCGGTGATGAGCACTTAGGCCCTTGAGTTGGTTCTGCCTGGATCTGAATCCCAGCTCTGCTCTCCTAGGAGTGTGACTGGGCGGCTCACTTTACCTCTCTTGGCTTCAGTTTTCTCACCTGTTGTCTCAGTCACCTAGTGCTGCTCCAACAGAAATACCGCAAGTGGATGGCTTTACAAAGAGAAATTTATTCTCTCACAGTCCAGTAGGCTACAAGTCCAAATTCAGGGC